ATTAAAGAAGGATGGTAGAAACACCAACTCAAAGCTGATAAGACATTGGACCACGTCATTCTGTAGCTTTGCTAGATGCGCTAGATTGATTGCCTTCTGAGAAATTGCGTTGAGGAATGCACATAGTTTCACGGTGGCTAATCATACATTTGGAGGTAGAATTCCTCTCAATGCAACAGGAAGCAATTGCGTCACAAGCACGTGATAGTCATGAGACTTTATGTTTAGGAATTTCTTCTCTGCGATATTTATTATGCCCTTTACATTCGAGGAGAAGCCAAATGGGACCTTGATGCTGTTTAGGCATTCAAACATGATTTCCTTCTCTTCTTTGCTAAGAGTGTAGCTGGCAGGACTTAAGTACTGGCGTCCATCATCTACCTTCTCTGGATACAGGTTCTCTCCTTCTTTCATACACTGCAGGTTCTGTCTTGCTTCCAGTGTGTCCTTAGACTTCCCATACACACCCATAAAGCCTAGTGGGTTCATACAAAGATTCTTCATCAGGTACATCACGTCGATCACGCTGTAGACCTCTAGGACTTGCCAGTAGGGTAGCTCCTAAAATATAGACTTCTTCTTCCACATGGGTGCATGTCCGTTAGCATCATTCAGAACAAGTTGGCTGCTAGGTCCCATCCCAAAGACTACTTGTACATCCATGACCATATTGAATAAATCCTCACCACTATAGTTGTCAAGCTTTGCTTAGTGCTCTGCCTTACCTTTAAAATGCTTTCCTCTCTTTCTTAGGGTGTGATTCAATGGAAGAAATCAACAATGGCCCATGTACACGACCTTTCAACATTTTTTCAAAAATATACCTTCCATGTCATGAAAACAGTGCATGCATGCATTATATCCCTTTTTTGACTGTCCTGAAAGATTACTAAGAGCATACCAATTATTGATTGTTACGAACAACAATACTCGTAGGTCAAAGTGTTCCTGTTTGTACTCATCCCACACATGTACGTCTGTGCTGCTCCACAAAAGTACAAGTTCCTCAACTAATGGCCTCAGGTACACATCAATGTCGTTTCCAGGTTGCTTCGGGCCTTGGATGAGTACTGGCATCATAATGAACTTTCGCTTCATGCACAACCATGGAGGAAGGTTGTAGATACATAGAGTAACTTATATGCTCTTTGTTTCTGAACAAACGTCTCAAGCGTGGTATTATAGGAGCATACCACATCACCTTGGTAGGGATTCTCTTCCTAGGACGTTCACTGTCGCCCTCAACATCACCAGGGTCATCTTGCCTGATCTTATACCGTGATGCACGGCATATCGAGCGTGCATCCAAATTCTTGTACTCCTTGCCGCAGTAGAGGATGCAATCATTAGAACATACATGTATCTTCTGGATTTCTAATCCTAGAGGGAAGACGACCTATTTTGCTACGTACATAGTGGTGGGCAATTCGTTTGCCTTCGGATGCATCTTCTTTGCGATAGTCAGTAACTCCCCAAATCCCTTATCGGATACACCATTCTTTGCCTTTTATTGCAACAATTCCAGTGTGGTACCCGACTTTTCTTGCTCCTCTTCGGCAGTTAGGTATAGCAATTTCTTGTGATCCTCTAGCATGTGCTCGAACTTGATCTTCTCCTTATCACTTTTACATTCTCTCTGTGCATCACGGATGGCCTGACCAAGATCATCATCGGGCTCATCTTCTGCCGCTACCTCTTCTTTAGCAGCTACCTCTTCTTCAGCTTCCCCCATTGCAGTATCATCAAAGGCACCGTATTCAGCAAAACCACGAATAATCATGTTATCATCATCCCTTCTTCTTCTTCTTCTTCTTCATCTTCTTCTATTATAACACATCTTTCTCTATTCTTAGTACAGCAAATATAGTTTGGCATAAAACTCGATGTAAATAGGTGTTCGTGAATTTTTCTTGAGAAAGAATAATCCTTCTTATTCTTACATAGAACACATGGGCAGCACATGAAACCATTCCGCGTGTTTGCCTTGGCCACATTTAAGAAATCATGCACGCCCCTCATGAACTTTGGGGAGCGACGATCAGCGTTGTACATCCATTACCAGTTCATTTGCATTACATGACGTACACCATATCAAAAACTTGTAATAACTTATATTATACAACATGCATGGTTAGTAGTTAATTAAAAGATCTAAAATATCCATCAATCAACATGATTAATTAATATCATATACCATACAGCTGTTTCACATACTCTCGAACATTAATTTATTAAAGCCTTGATACAATGTAGACAATTCCAAATATCACTAAACAAACTAAACCTATAATGCACTTGAGTAGAATAAGAATTTCACGACCAATTCCAACTAAAACAGACATATCATTCTTCTGCTAGTTCACTGCCTCATCATACACATGTGCACTCTCATCAGCCATCTTAGTCTCCTTTGCAAGAGATTTTTGGACGTGCTCAACATACTCTTCCTCCCAGTACCAACCGTCACATGATCTAGTGCCATCCCACTAAAATTACAACAACAAATCAAGAACTTTAATCAAAATCATCACGAAAAATAGCTACAAACCATAGCAAAATATGACAAAAAATTACTCACTTCACGATCCGGACACATGTAGAAGATGCGCCCTTGCTTGGGACCCTTCTTCTTCACCCTGTACTCCCTCACAATCTTCTGCCCACACTTGCCGCACGCAATGAGAGGAAGATCCGGCCTCAAGTCGCTTAGGGACCCCATGCGAGGCCGAGGACCCGGAAATAGTCGCCATCTATGACTCTCTATACTGATTTTCATCAACTACTATAAGTTTCTCATTTTGTGAACCATAAAATTAAATGAGCTATATACTAAAAAAATATTTTATTTCTCAATTTCTAAACCATGCATGAAATGAGGCCATGAAAGGTGTATACTTTTTTTGATGAGCTACTACAAGATTCCTTCATCTACATATGCAAACTATCAAGTGATTTTGAGCTCAAACGGTATAGAAATAAAAAATATCCACCATTATTCCCAATCTAGAAAACCAAAAATTCTCTATTTCTAGACACCATGAAATGAGACAATGAAAGATGCATACTAGTTTTGATGAACTACTATAAGCTTCCTTCAACTTCATATTCAAACTATCAAGTGATTTCAAGATCAAATGGTATATAAATAAAAAAATCCACCATCATTTACAATCTAAAAACCATAAATTTCTCTATTTCTAGACAAAAAAATGAGCCATACTAGTGATGAAACGTGGGAGGATGAAAATGGTAACATTTAGAACCGAAGAATGGATGGGGGAATGAAGTCTTCACCAATTCCGCAAGCATGAACTCGTTCCACGAGCAAGAACAAAGAGCAGGCAGAGAGCTTGAAATGGCTCAGGGCTGGGGAGGAAGAAGAAGAAATTATATAGCCCGGGACATGTAGTCCCGGTTTGTGGTATAAACCCGGACTACAGGTAGAGTTTTAGTCCCGGTTAGAGCCACCAACCGGGATTAAAGGTTTACTCACGGCTGGTAGCTCCAACCGGGACTTGAGGGTGACCTTTAGTCTCGGTTTGAACCACTAACCGGGACTAAAGCTCCTCTCCTGCTCCTCTCCTGCAAAAGCTACGCCTCTAACCGTTGGGTAGGGGACTTTAGTCCCGGTTGGTTGCTCAACCAAGACTGATCCTGTCTTTAGTCCCGAGCCCAAAAATGAAAGCTTAGAACCAAAAGTCTGCTCTCTACTTGTGACATATGCGCATCGACATACTCACAGTTCTTCAAGAATGCTTGCCATGCCTACAGCTACGCCTAGGATGACTCTGATTTACTTGATTTTCCCTTTACGTCAATTTATTTAATGTACTAGGACTGCAAACCAAATATACTTTCGTATATAGCAACGTGTACAACTAGATATAATATTTGGTACATATAGAGAGGTATATATAATTCAGAATATAGGGTGAGACGGAACGTGAGAGTAGTTTGGGAAATAAAAAAGTGAGACAAAATAGTTTGGGAAGTACAAAAGCAAGTTCGAAGAAATACTTCACTCTTTATTATTATTAGATTTATAGAAATATTATAGTCTTATAGAGATATCTAGGGGGCATTTGGTTCCCTGCATATGGGCTAGCCAGGCTGGCTAGATGCATCCGATGTTTAGTTGGTTGGATGAATGCCAAAGCATGTCCCCCGTGTACCAAGAAATTCTGTTTCTCCAGAACCAGGCTCGCGAAATGAAGGTATTGGCATGTTAATGGTGCCATTAGCAAATGATTAGCACATTTTAAGCTGCATTAGTATGTTTCAAAATAGATTAAGGCTTATATGATAAAAATAATTACTATGCATTGATTCAAGTAAAATAAAAAAATATATAGTCATGCCCAACCAAACAGCTCCTATAGCTGGCTAGCATCTACTTAGGCTTGGCTGACAGAGCCTGCATCCCAGATACAAGCCAGGTTAAGTTGAGAAGGGAACAAATAAGCCCCTAATTCTCGTATTCAAGAGCGAAGAGAAGTGATTCTTCTGTCCATTTTTTATTTCCCAAAAAGTATCATCACGTCTCTCCTAATTCGAAATTTGACTTGGACTAACACGACGCGCATTTGTGTGTGCAGCGTTGGAGTATAGAGTAAGATTCTAATACATATTGTAACAGATCGATGACACAATCGTTAAACAGATGTTAAGTCGTGCAACAAGATGTCGTAGCAAGGCACAATATATTTAATTGTTAATATTACATCCTCCTTCTAAAAAAAATAAAAATCTCGCTAAAAGAATTAAAATCTCGCTTTTTGAGAAAAATCAAACAATCATATGTTTGACTATATTTATATAAAATAGTATCACCATTTATATCTTCAAATAGATTTATTATAAAAATATATTACATAGCTAATTTAATAATAACACTTAGCACGCATCATAAATATTAGTATACATATTTTATCATCAAACCTAGGATTACACGGCGCCTTGTTGCGGATCGTTTCTAGATGTTTTGTTGATGACGTACACTATCAGGCGCAGGCGCACCCGATCTTACAGCGGCCAGCCTCCGTGACGACCCACGATAACCTCTGCAGCACGGAGTAGGCGATGCGTCTATTGGCGGCCTCCGTGAAGTGCACCCCGTCCCAGTAGACGTACGCCGACGGGTCCGCGCATGTCTTCGTCCCCGCCGCGCCGCAGAACGACGCCGTGTCGAAGTTGTAGGCGCCGCCGCCGCCGCCGCAGCACACTTCTAGCGGCCTATCCCCGAAACCTGCGACCGATCGCATGCACCGTGTGAGAAGTGATGATCATCAATCAACAGAATATAATGTGTGCACGCACGTATACGTACCGTGTCTGCCGGGCGACACGACGAGGTCGGTGACGGCGCGGTAGAGGTCGGCGTAGACGACGGACGTCGTCGTCGTCCCGGACCCGGGGTGGGCGCGGCGCCGGCGGAGGCCCCTGAGCATGCGGCGCAGCTCGCGGTTGTGCAGCTCGGCGAGGTCGTTCAGCGACGTGATGCAGCCGGACGCCGGGTCGTAGCCTCCGGCGCCGACGCGTCCCCGGAAGAGCGCCAGGGACCACCACCGTGCGTGCCCCGGCGGCGATCACGTGCTGTGCATTTACGACGACGACGACGTGAGTCAAGTGTAGACGTGTTGGAAGGTGAGTGAGCATGCATATAGCATGTTTGGAAGGGAACAACTAACGACGACGACTCACGGTCACAGTGGAACGTATGGCGCGGATGATCTGCGGCAGGAAGACGGTCTTCAGCTCGCTCAGGGTGCGGTTTCCGTAGAGGCCGCCGATGAGGTAGTCGTTGATCCCGATCTCCCCGACTATGAACAGGGAGGTCGCCGTCATGTTCCTCCGCTCTGATCGAGATGTTATTGTGGGTGCCAAACAATTAGGGTGCAGCGTTTCATAATATTTCCAGAAGAATTCATATTCATAGTATAGATAGATGGAACTAGCTATCGTGATATATGATAATAGTATGACATACATGTCGAGAACTTACCACGAACCGAGCCAAGACGCTGCAAAACATTCTTGAACCACCTGGCCTGGTTCCGAAGAGAGACTCGCACGAACATCTTGAGCCCTCTGCCCTCGAAGAACGCGGCGTCCACTGCCGTCCCTCTACTCACCGCGAAGTTCACCCCGCGCCGGAAGTCCGCCGCCGTCTTCCCGGCGAGGTACGGTGTTGGCTCAGGTACCCCCAGCGCCTCAGCTGCATGCGTGGACGACGATCGACCACGCACACGAGATGTCATCATCGACCACAACTGAGATCGAGAAGAGCACTTACCGAGAAAGTCGAAGGCGGCCGTGGCGGTGCTCACCGAAAAAGTCGATCATGATCCGGCCGTCCGACACGCGGCCGCTGGGGCGGCCGAAGAAGGTCTCGCCGTACGGTGGCCGGCTGATCAGCGTCCCCTCGCCCAGGATGCACAGCAAGTTCCCCGTGTCGGTCAGCGAGTCGCCGAAGCTGAAGATGCGGGCGTGGCGCGTCGTTTGGCTCTGGTGGTGGCCACCGTCGGTGCTTCTGTCTGCCCCGGCGCCGGCGGAGAAGAGAAGCGCTAGTAGGAATATCACGAGGAGACGTGACAGCGGCGGCGCCATTGGTTCCTCAGTACGTACTGCGGCTACTCGTGGTGAGCTTTGGATGGAGCTGTGTGTCATGGTGATAGTGATATTTATAGTGGCGCCGTGGGGACAACAACGACGGAGGAGGCATCGCTGCCGTGTTGGCCACAGCCAATTTGTAACGAGACATTTGACATGTTCCACCCATCGTAACACATAACTGCACATCTCCACTTTTTGAAGATTTCAACAAGACTTAGAAAAATATTATCAACGAGACATTTGACATATGTTCTAATATGTTTGTTATGAAATTATATTGAACTATTAATCTAAAGAAGATACTTATTATGAAATATTATTATACTTTTGTATTTATTTGGTTAAATTTTAAAAAGTCTTACTACTCAAAAAATGAGATGTGCAATTATTTTGGAACAGATAGAAGATAACAATAAAACAAATAAGCCAAAAGTTGATCATATACCTGTGATCTTCGGTGGCTACACAGCTCAGCCACATACAATGTGTTACTTTTTGGGACATTTATCATTTGAATTAAGCTATATCACCAACCGTCGCATATACTACTATTTCGGACGCTCAGAGCTAGAGGAAATTGTGTCCATGGCGTGCGGCCACGATGTGCTTGCCCACGGCGTATCACTACTACAAAAAGCATTTTTAGGGGTGGCTGGTAACCCTTTGTAGGGGCGGTTTGGCCAGCCGCCCCTACTGAACCGTCTCTACAAATCATGTATTTGTAGGGACAGTTCCCAGGCCGCCCCTACAAATAGATTTATAGGGGCGGTTGGTGATTGAGCCGCCCCAACAAATAGATTTGTAGGGGCGGCTGGTATTCTGAACCGTCCCTACAAATCTATTTGTAGGGGCGGCTCAAAGAAACCAACCGCCCCTACAAATCTATTTGTAGGCGCGAAATAGTGCCACCGCCTCTATAATACCTATTTTTGTAGGGGCGGTTCAATCTAGAACCCCCCCTAAGATGCGTTTTCCATAAAAAAAATTCAAATTTACAATTCAAATTCGACCGTAACTGTTTGTTTACTGCGTATTCCATCCAATATCCAAGTTGCGAGCGCCCGCGACCAACGTTCGAACGCGTTCATTTGCGAACGCATACGCGACCAACGTTCGAACGCGACTACAAGCACAATAGTATTATATAAAGTACAATTATAAGTCCAATTCGTAATGATATATATATATACAATCCATCATTAAATATACAAATTTCATACACATTGTTATCAACGTCCTAGAGCTAGCCTTTCGGTCTCACGAAGGTGTTGGTGCGAGGATTTGTACCTAAGTCGACTCTCGATCATGGTAGGCGCCTCGGCGTGTACAATCTGGTCCAATATGAAGTTGCAAAGGTCGCCGACGAGCTCTAAGAGTTGGTCATCCTTGTATGGGTCTCTTTTCATTCCTTTCTCTTCTCTCCACTACAAGAAAACAAGTTTCAGCTTAGTATTTCATACCATTTATGAAGTTTTTATACTACGGGTGAAGAGGTTCAAACTTACCCTTAAGGGGTGTCTCACAGAGGCACCGGTGTTACTCATCGTAGAACATATATAGTATCCACAATGTACACTCCCAAGCCTCTGCTTGGGGCACTGTGTGTTTTGCATATGAAAATATTAGGTAATGCTTTTGATAGCCATGTAACGGAGTACTGAAGAAGTAAGTTACACTTACCGCACATAGTGTTTTTATAGCCAGCTTTTCCTTCCTCGCTGGATCATGCCTTCCGTGATGATGAGAGACATAGAACCTAAATGCCCTGTTCGAATTATTTTAGCAAATACAACTTGTTAGTATGCATAAGTGAACGTTACAAGTATGTATACAGACATATAAGCTAATGAGGATTGTCGATATGTATACGTCTTGAGAATCGATATGAAGTCTTTGTATGTCGCCGGGTCCTTATCTATTGAATCAAAGACCCATGCCATGCTCTTCCCGACATCGACGGCTATACAAATCCAGTGGTTGCTGCATGGATTTAATCATAGAACTAGATAAGCTCTTTTACATCGAATAAAATATATCGAACATAGCTTTAAGTTATAGTTGAACTTACTCGAAGTTGTATGGTAGCCATATAGTAGAGTGTTGTTGGAGATTTTTGAAAGCCAGAGTAATGTATGCCGCAACCTTAAGGGACTCTTCCCTTAGCTTCGCACTACGGATGCGCTCTTTCTCCCGAAGAGTCTTTGCAGCTGCTAGCTCTTTGGCATCCAGTGTCCACCGTTATCGAATTGTTCCTGAGTAAGCTGGTCCTCTAGTGCTTGCTCCTCAAGGGTTGGCTGCTCATCATGCTCGAGGCATCGAGCTGCACGGTCTGTTGTCCGTGACATTATTTCGCGCTTTGTTCTAAAAGATGCAAGAAAGTGTGCTTTAGGTACGCGAGAAGGTATAAGAAATCAAAAAGGTCTATAAACCAAAGTAGTCCTATAAAACAATAATATAAAAAAACAAGAAGTAGCAGTGGTAGAGGCCTCAGAAATATGTCAATCATCATCTGATCTTGAACTTGGAGCATCAAGGCATCATAACAGAGAAGAGAGGAGAAGGTAATGTAGGGGCGGCTGCTAATGATGCCAAGTTCCTCACAAGTTCTTAACCATCAGCTCATATTCCATATAATGTATGGACTTGGACAATTTCATCATCGGCAAAACAAAGGAGAGGAGAGGAGAGGGAAGATTTGGCAAAAAAAGCAACAACTGCTTAGCAAACATAAAGCCGTAGATGATGGCAAAAATAGCCAAAAATAGTAGTGGCCCACTGGTCCTATGCCCCCAAGCTACAGCAATGCTAAGATTATCAAAAAAAGAGAAGACTATTAGAATTGTACAACAATTAGTAGCCAGACTCCATCAGAAGAAAGAAGTAAAAGTTTACTCACTACATAAGTAGAAAATACTCTGAACAGATAAAGATACTGATAACAACTACTTGAATTTAGTATGCAGGGAAGGCACAAAATGAACAGGCCAAAGTACCAGGTGAAAAGGGAAGGCACAATCAATAAGTACCACAGCAATTGACAGTCAAATTCAAATATTCTAAAAGCAGGGGGAAAAGACAAGTAGGATGCATCTGGTAATGAAATTGCCCTGAAAGTGCTCGAATGATCAGCACAAGATATACAACAATAGTAATGAGGGCCACAGCAATTGTTAGAGAAGTTTGACCTAGAACATAACTAAAATGACCTACATTTTGGAAGAATGAGGGCCAGAGAGTTGTTGTTAAACTCTAAATTACTCAAATATTTTAACCTCAAACAATGCTACCTGTAATTGTCCTCATGCAAAGATACACTTACATAGACAGAAACTCCAATAGTCATTTGGAGCACTAGGCACTAGCATGAAGGTCAGATTCCATAAATAGATTCTACAAAGCCTTAGTAAAAAAGAAAGAAACATGTCATGCACAACTATCAAGTGAGAGCTTTCCAAGCTGTTGTTGGGAATTTTTATTGAAATATGTTAGCTCCATCTCATATGGAAGAATACTAGAAAGTAGAAAGTGACTTGCATACACAATTACTGAAACCAGAAGTTTTCAATCAAGATGCATTCAGAATCCTAGTTCTGGAAAAGTTGCAGCTTTAAAATGAAATGGGTGATGTGCTTACTCTAAGGATAGATGATGGATTATGAAGTATTAGTCTCCTAAAGTATATCATAGTTGTTTCTTTTTTTATGGCGAGAACACTACATCCCAAATACACCCAAATGAGTGAGACAGACTTAACCTCAGGACTTATGTTTCAAAGAGCCCTCTTGCACACTTGTCACATTTTCGACCTAAATCAATACATTCACAAAGCTAAAAATCAAAGAGAGGGATACCCCTCAATGTGCACTAACACCATTCTCTGCATATTTGGTTCAAAGAACATGTCAAAAACTACATATAACAAACATGACTAACAAAATTACTAGAGGAAACTAGAATCAAGAACAATAAAAATTAAGCATTCCAAAAAATACTTATTCCTAAAAATTATCTTTACTGATTTTCAACTCAAGTTTATCTAGTAAAATTGTAAGAGCAGAAAAGAACTATTTTAGCTTATAGGAACGGTCCTTTTGCAGGTTGATGATGTACTAGAGTCGAAGTTAGCAGCTGCAAGGTTAACACATTTCTGTTAAGTTCAAATAGGAGCCATGTGTCGAGTGGCAGTGCAAAGAAACATATGCAATAATTGAATCACTCAATTTAGCAAGCATATGAGAAGAAAAGGGCTGCTGGAACTATATACCAGGGCCAAAAATATATAATAGCTAAAAGATCCTTGTTTTAAATGGTTGCACATTGTTGTCGGCATCAGCACATTGCTTTAGATGGTTTCAAATGCCTTACCAAGCAGAGCAAGCAGGTTGAATTAACATGACATTGTTTTCTCTAGTTGGACACTGAGTTCACCATCAAACTCGCCAAATCAGCTTATTTCTGAATTTTATTTGAATGAACTCTAATCTGAATTTTCTTTAAGCAAGGCAACAATTACGAATTTATTTATGTTGGTGATTAATTTCTGCAGATTTGTATGGTCAATACATGAAGAATATGACTTCTAATATCAATGCACGCTGCCAAAAGAAGATTGCACACCGGATAGAATAGAACTCCCTTCATCTTTCATCGTTTGGTCAGTTACGATGTTCAATGGATGCCCACAATCACAAGTATTTATGGAAAGTCTAAAATAGGCAATAATGATATTGGGAGTTTGAGATGTATAGGACAAATGGCAACTAGCATTATGTTTTGTTTTCCTATATTTACTCACTACATGTAAAACTAGTTTGTAGTAATTCTGACTGACTGATTACTATTTTTGGTTTTCTGAACTTTCGGTTTCCTTATCAAACAGTAATGTGTGCTTACTGATTTTTCAACTCAACTTTACTGATTTTCAACTCAAGTTTATCTAGTAAAATTGTAAGAGCAGAAAAGAACTATTTCAGCTTATAGGAATGGTCCTTTCA